AGGCTTTGGGAGTACATGAAGGACAGCTTTCTGGAGATGTCCCTGGAGGATTTCCGCTCCATCCCCATACACGTTAACAGCTTTTCCAGTAGCTGTACTGGCCGCGATTGCCAGGGCAAATTAATCATTAAACACACTTGCTATTAAACCATGTGTAATATTTACAAAGGTACACTCACCAGAGGTCCCTTGTGTGCCCTCAGGGTCTGGGAGCATGCCTTGGGTGAGTTTGGGGGTTACTGGTTCCAGGTCCAGGGTGATAAACATATCCTGGCTGTTGGGGAAACTGTTTTTTCTGCTTCCTTGCTGTGAGCTATCTTCCTCATACCCCAAACCCTCTTCCCTGTTGCGTGATTCTCCATTGATGGAGTCAAAGCACACGGTTGGGGTAGTGGTGGCTGCACCCCCTAGCATGGCATGCAGCTCCGCGTAGAAGCGGCATGTTTGCAGCTCTGCCCTGAACCTTCCGTTTGCCTCTCTGGCTTTGTGGTAGGCTTGCCTTAGCTCCTTAATTTTCACGCGGCACTGCTGTGCGTCCCTGTTAGGCCTCTGTCCTTCATGGCCTTTGAGACTTTTTCTAATATTTTGCCATTTCGTTTACTGCTACAGAGTTCAGCTAGCAGTGATTCGTCTCCCCATATGGCGAGCAGATCCTGTACCTCCCGTTCAGTCCATGCTGGAGCTCTTTTGTGATCCTGGGACTCCATCATGGTTACCTGTGCTGATGAGCTCTGCGTGGTCACCTGTGCTCTCCACACTGGGCAAACAGGAAATGAAATTCAAAAGTTTGAGGGGCTTTTCCTGTCTACCTGGTCAGTGCATCTGAGTTGAGAGTGCTGTCCAGAGCGGTCACAATGAAGCACTGTGGGATAGCTCCTGGAGGCCAATAACGTCGAATTCCGTCCACACTATCCTAAATCCGACCCGCAAAGGCGGATTTTAGCGCTAATCCCCTCGTCGGAGGTGAAGTAAAGAAACCGGTTTAAAGGGCCCTTTAAGTCGAAAAAAAGGGCTTCGTCGTGTGGACGTGTCCAGGCTTAATTCAATTTAACGCTGCTAAATTTGTCCTAAACCCCGTAGTGTAGACCAGGCCTAAAGAAAATGTTGTATATATCTTTATCGGTAGGTTTTAAAGTTTGTTGTTTAACACTTTCCTTTTCACTCGTGGTGGAACATCACTATTACTACAGGCTTGTTCTATTCCATATTTAGGTATTGCAAAATCATTAGACTATCAACATTAAAGTACATCACAGGGTATGTCTGCACTGCAAGCACAAGGTGTGACTGTAGCTTGTGCAGTCATACCCAAGCTAGCTTTTGGGGAAGTGCTGTGTACTTTTTGAGAGTGGGGAGCATTTTTCTTTAGACTTCTTTAAGTGGTTAAATTAAACTTTTTGAAAACTGGTAATTACTTGAAATATCATGTTTATGTGATGTAGAAAGATACTTTGCATTTAATCTGCCCCCCCATTCTTGGGGGAAAAAGTTAATTCAAACTGTCAGCAGCTGTCCCTTCCCAACTCTAGTAAGCGTGGTTAATGCAGTTTTAGATTGAACCTTTCTGGAGCATGCAGCTATTGAAGAGCATCCATCCCTGCATGAGGATAGAGTTTACTAAATATAACTAGTGCTCTCTATTTACATTAATATTTTAATTAGAAAATGTCAGGCTAAAAATCAATATTTCTACTTGGAATACTGGGGAGCTGGGCTCTCTAAGAATGCAAGGAGTAACTGAAAACGATCAGATGTACAGGGAGGGGAGAAAATACAGAAATCATGTATTAAAATGAGCCATGAAAACACAATACTAATGTGATAAGTCAGGGCAATATGCAAATAACTGCATGTCCCAGAAACTCTAATCCTATCAAGAATGCCTAGGATGTTAATTTGACCATCTTTCACAGCTCATAAATCTATCCACTGCAAAGCCAAGCTGCCAGATGCCATCAAGTAGCACTTCTTTCAGGCTAGCGGTTTCAGCATAGATGCCTGGATCATGCCTCAGTAAAGACTAATAAAGAGCTTTGTACGTGTGGACTTGAGAGCAGCTTCTCACATTTTGCTACAATAGAGCAAAACAGTGGGAAATGTGAATGACTGATTGTCAGATCTGGTGGTCTCTCTTGTGCTGTCTTCGTCATACTGAGCTATAGATTTCAAACTGTTAATATGTAGATGGATTTATCTTGCATCCTAACAATTAATAGTATAAACTACTGGAGAATTAGTTTATTTAATCCTCAACTATAAATACAAATTTAGCATAGTTCTTTTTATGTTAAGCAGACAATCCTTTTATATTTAAAACTCAAATATATACAAAACTGTTTCTGTTATGGTGTGACTAAATTATTTTATTTCATTCAGTGTTTAGACTGGAAATTATCCTGTTTTAAAGCAGAGTAATTTACATTTTCCTCTGAAACATGAATCACTTCTACCATTCACAGTGTCATTTTAAACTTTATGTCTAGCAGTCTAAGCTTTTGAGTTTGAACCAGAAAACATCCATTCTTGAGATCTGCGCCGTTAAAGCATGCTTTTACAGAGTGGCTTTTAAAGAACCCAATTAAAGAGGGTGAAGTGACACAAAGATTGTTCGCACCAGGCTTTCACCTTTGCATAACGGGGTTCAAATCTGACTTTGATCTATAGTGAAAGGAGTTTTTCAACAGTTCCCATTGGACATTTATTCACACCACAAAACCACCACACAGAACTACCACCACTTTGGTGGTAGTTCACAGGAAGAAACCAAGCCAAAGGGCAGTGTTTGATATTGAAATAGACCTGGCCCTAGAAGAATCAGAGGAAAAAATGGTTACTCACCTTTCATAATTGTTGTTCTTCGAGATGTGTTGCTCACGTCCAATCCATTGTAGGTGTGTGCTCTTGCCACATGCACTGGTGCTGGCTCTGGCGCCCTCTGGAGAGGTGCGCATATGCACCGGTGTAAGGGGTGCCGCCAACCCCCTCCCTCCCTCAGTTTCTGCTTGCCGGAACTCCTTCTGAGGGGAAAGGTGGGTCATGGAATGGACATGAGCAACACATCTTGAAGAAAAACAGTTACAAAAGGTGAGTAACCGTTTTTTCTTCTTCGAGTGCTTGCTCATGTCCATTCCATTGTAGGTGACTCCCAAGCAGTACCTCTGGAGGCGGGTCGGAGTTCATGGACGTGTCGATTGCAACACAGCTCTGCCAAATCCAGCATCATCCCTGGTTTGCTGGGTAATGGCTTAATGCGTTGTGAAGGTGTGGATTGATGACCACGTCGTGGCTCTGCAGATGTCCTGGATGGGGACATGAGCCAGGAAAGCGGCCGATGATGCCTGAGCTCTTGTGGAGTGAGCAGTTACTATTGGTGGAGGCGTCACCTGCACCAATTCGTAGCAAGTACGGATGCAGGTAGTGATCCAGGACAAGATCCTTTGGGATGACACTGGGAGGCCCTTCATTCTGTCAGCCACCACAATGAAAAGTTGAGTCGATCTGTGGAAAGGCTTAGTATGCTTCAGGTAGAAAGCAAGGGCATGCCTGACGTCTAGGGTGTGCAGATGTCTATCTTCGTTAGACGCGTGCGGCTTTAGACAGAACACTGGGAGGAAGATGTCCTGGTTGACATGGAATTGCAACGCCTCCTTAGGCAGGATGGGGATGCAGCTGGACCTTATCCTTGTAGAACACCCTGTATGGGGGCTTCGATGTAAGAGCTTTAATCTTGGAGACGCACCTCGCCAAGCCGAGCAGAAGCAGCACTTCCACTTTGTGAGGTAGGTAGCTCTAGTGGAGGAATTTTTACTTTCCAGAAGAACCTGCTGGACCTGAGTGGAGCAGGCCTGCTCCTCGGGGCTCAGCCACGCAGCATCCACCCCATGAGGTGGAGAGAGAGGCAAGGTTCAGGTTTAGCAACCATCCATGATCCTGAGACAGCAAGTCCAGATGGCTGGGAAGAGTCCATGGGGCTGCCACTGCCAAGTCCATGAGAGTGCCAAACCAATGCTGGTGAGGCCAGGCCGGGGCGATCATAATGACTCGTGCCTTGTCCTTCTTGATCTTGAAAAGGATCCTGCTGATCAGCAGGATTGGCCAAAAGGTATACATGAGATCCTCTGACCATGACAAAAGGAAGGTATCCGACAGTGAGCTGCTGTCGAGGTCTTGTAGCGAGCAGAATTGATGGCATTTTCTGTTCTGTCTGGTGGCGAACTGGTCCACTTGGGGAGCTCCCCACCTTTCGAAGAACATCCAGGCAACCTCCAAATGGAGGGACCACTTGTGGTGATAGAAGGAGGACCTGCTGAGGCAATCCACCAGCACATTCCAAACCCTAGGGAGGTGGGAGACTTCTAGGTGGATAGTATACTGGATGCAGAAGTCCCAGATGAAAAGAGCTTCCTGACACGGGACTGACGACCGGGTTCCCCCTTGTCTGTTGACATAGAACATGGAGGCCATGTTGTCTGTCAGTACATGCACCACTTAACCAGATAGATGGGGAAGGAACACCTCGCATGCCAGGCAGATGGCCCTGAGCTCTCTGACGTTTATGTGATGCGACAGCTCCTCCTGCGACCATAGTCCTTGAGTTTGAGGGCACTAAAGTGCGCTCCCCAGCTGAGGTCGGACGCATCTGACATCAGGGACACTGTGGGCCATGGAACCGCAAAAGGAACCCTTTCCATCACTGGATTTGGATTGTACTACCATTGGAGGGAGAGGAGTACCCGGAGTGGGACCGTGAGGAGCATGTCCAATGGGTTCCTTACTGGGGAATAGACCGATAACCATATTTGAAGGGGCCTCAGCCGCAGCCTTGTGTGCTGGACTACATAGGTGCATGCAGCCATGTGCCCTAGGAGTCAGACAGACCCGAGCTATGGTGAGTGGATGTGTGGTGACTTGGGCAATCAGATCTGACATTGCTCTGAATCTGGCTTGTAGTAAGAATGATCTGGCTTGGGTAGAGTCGAGAACTGCTCCGATGAACTCTGTCCTCTGAACAGTGACCAATGTTAATTTATCAACAGGCCCAGGGCATGACACCTCGATACTGCGCTGCACCTGCCCTTTGGAGCCCTTGATGAGCCAGTCATCCAGATAGGGAGAGATCTGGACCCCCTCTTCCCCGATGCCTGAGGTAAGCTGCGACTACTGCCATGCACTTTGTAAACACTCTTGGCGCTGTCGCTAGGCCGAATGGAAGCACTGCAAACTGATAATGTGTCTGACTGACCAAAAACCATACAAATCTCTTGTGGCCGAGAAATATTAAGATGTGAAAGTAAGCGTCTTTTAGGTTGAGGGCTGCATACCAGTCTCCAGGAAGGGGATGATGGAGGCCAGGGAGACCATATGGAACTTCAACTTCTGGAGATATTTGTTGAGATCTCGCATGTCCAGGATGGGGCATAGGCTCCCTTTGGAATAAGAAAGTACTGGGAGTAAAAAAATCTTTCCCTCTTGGTTCTACAGGAACTTCCTCCACGGCCCCCAGCTGCAGGAGGGCTTGTACCTCCTGGCGAGCAATTGCTCGTGAGAAGGGTTCCTGAAGAGGCACGGGGAAGAGAGGTGGGAAGGAGGGGATAGAACAAAATTGGAGGGTATACCCTGCTGCCACCGTATTGAGGACCCAGCAATCCATAGTTATGGTGGTCCAAGCGGGAAGGTAAGGTAACAAATAGTGGGAAAATAAGAGGTGAGACAGATCCTGGTTGCAGGTTGGGAGGTTTCCCTCAAGCGTTCCTTCAAAATGACTGTGTTTTTAGGAGGGGTGCAGCTCTAGCCCGAATGATCCCCTGCTGCTGACAGCTGATCTTGACAGTGCCTATAACCCCTGTTCTTCTTGCGGTATGGTTCTGCTCTGGCCTGGCTCATGAACCTCTGAGTGTGTTGAGGCTTAAATCGCTTCCTAGCGTGGGCCAAGGTGTACAGGTTCAGCGAGCAAAGAGTGGCCCTAGAGTCTTTCAGGCTGTGTAATCTGCTGTCCATTTGTTCAGCAAACAGGGCCGAGCCGTCGAATGGGAGGTCCTGGATGAATTGTTGGTCTTCTGCCGAGAGGCCAGATGACTGCAGCCATGACGCCCATCTCATTGACACCACCGATGCCATGGCTCTGTCTGTGGAAACTGCCACGTCTGAGGCAGCCTGGAGGGAGACCCTTGCAATCGCCTTACCCTCATCCAGCATGGCACTGAACTGCTTAACGTCCTGCGGGAGCAAGTCAGCAAACTTGGCTGTGGATTGTCATACATTAAAATGACAACTGCCGAGCAAGGCCTGGTGGTTTGCTATGCAAAGCTGTAGGCTGGCTGTAGAATAAATGTTCCTGCTGTACAGATTGAGTTGCTTGACGTCTTTATTCTTGGGGGTCGAGCTGGGTTGACCGTGCCTGTCATGCTCATTGGCCGCTGTGACTACTACCGACCTGAAGGAGGAGTGCATATACAGGTACTCGAACCCTTTTGCAGGGACGTAGTACTTACGCGCTGCCCTTTGGGACATAGTTGGCAAGGATAACGGGGTCTACCACAGGGCATTTACGATTCTGACCACCCCATCGTGGACTGGTAGGGCCACCTTTGCTGGCACTGCTGCAGCCAGCACGTCAAACAGGAAGTCCTCTGGTTTGGACATTTCCTCGGCCTTTAATCCCAGGTTTGCTGCGACCCAACTATGCAGCTCCTGGTGGGCTTTGACATCATCCTGGGGCACCGCCTGCGAGGGGCCTGCTACTGCCTCATCAGGCGATGAGGAGGAGGCAGCTAGCCCAGGGGGAAGGGTGGGTTGTGCGTCCCCCCTGGCTGGGTAGCCACATGTCCTGGAGGGGGTGGTTCCTGGGCACCTTGGCCCGACCCAACCTTCGAGCTCAGGGTAGGGCGAGACACTAATGCTGAAGGTCCTTTCTACACCCTCAAGACTAATCTTAGAGTCTGAGGTCCTCCAGCTTGGGAACATGCCCATGGGTTATACCCCTACCAGGTCCACGGCCATTGACCTTGTGGCCACGCACTTGCAGACTGGCCCGCTGGCTGCGCAGGTAGTGGTAGGTCTCTGGGGGCCGGCAACTCCTCGCTCTCGGAGGAATAATCTGCCTCTGGCGACCATGTCAGAGCCACCACAGGGTAGGCTTCCCCACTGTATCTGGCGGCCTCACACCTGCCATTCGGGGAGCGGTACTGGGAACCCACTGAACCATGCTGCGTATCCGGCGATCAGTGGTGATGTGCATAGACCTGCTAATAATCTGGGGAGTAATGCGACCTGCTTTGAGCATAGTGTGCCAGTTCCGATGACTGGGAGCGTGGGGACCATCCATCATGCTGTGGTGATTGGCGACGGGGCTCCGATGACGAGGTTCCGGTGACCAGTGTCACAGGTCCGGCGAGGCTCCAAGGTAAGGTGCCAGGACTCCTGAGCGCCAAGGGGGCTCTGGTGAGCAGCACTTGGGCACTAAGGAGTGATCTCCGGGGCTCAGAGGACCGATGGTGTGCTTCTGTGGCTCAGTACTGTGGGTCCGGTGACTGGTGTCGGGATTCCCAAGGATCAGTGCCTGGACTTAAGCAATCCGTGTTGGGAACTCGCCGCCTGCTTGCGGGCGTATGCTCCAGGATGTGGCTCCAGAGTTGTTGGCATGGCTCTGGGGAATGGGATGGGGCCAGGGTATGTTGCCTTAGGGATTACATGTTCAGGGGTACCATTGAAGGCTTTCCTCTTGAAACGGGTGGGAGGGAGGGGTCCATGGGCCGCTCTTCCGGAGTAGGTGACACCAGGAGGGAGAAAGTATCTCTTGCTGCTTGCAAGGCTTCCAGGATGGATGGCACCGTGAGGTACCGCGCGCCTCTAGCACTCTCAGGAGTGGGAGACAGCTTGTGCGGTGGAGTAGGTCCCATCAGTGAGGCTGTCACCTGGCTAGGTTCCAGGGACGGCGAGATAGCCTGAGTTGGTCTGGACTCCACCTGTGCCTTGTCCTTATGGGTGTCGGGGGAGTGCCCCCTTCTCACGTGTTTTTATGTCTTTTGGCTGGTATCTAAGATGAAAGGACAGCCCGTGGGAGAAAATATTGAGCTTCTTCCATTGCACTTCATACTTCAGCTGTATCCAACTGCTTTGCACAGGCAGCCCTAACTTGGGACCTAAACCATGTTTGAAAATCTTACTAACAAGGTTTTTAAATCTACCATGTGAAAAATTTCTTCTTTGTCTCTACGGCATCAACCAGCTATGCTGAAGGAAAATTAAGAATTACTTAAACTGTGACTGAGGTTAAGGAAAATTAGACCTTCCTTTTCTTGAGCCACCAAGTGAGGGACTTCAGACAACCTTAAAAGAGCAAGCAACTCTTTTGCCATTTCACCTTTTCCTCTACAAACTGATTTTGAAGAAGAGAAGGGGCAATGGAATCAAGCCAAGAATACAAGATAAATGAATGATTCCAAGATAATCCAAAGGCAGGTCTCCTCATGGTGAATAGGAGAAGAATGATACAATTTTCTTGTGATAGATAGTCTCTTCCCCTGCCCAAAAGGTAATGGAAGTGATTTTGTCAGGCTATGGTATCAAATTCTAGAGAAGCTCTCATCCTAGATATTTTTCCAACACAATTTCTTCCAATTCTTTTAAATAAGTTATTTCCTACTTACTAGCAATTAGAACCATAGAATGTATACCTAAAGTGGAGCAATGGTAAATCTATTTTACATTCTTCCCAATCTCCAAATGCTCAACTGGAAATTCTGGATCTAAAACATTGGAACAAATCTGGCAAGAGAATAAAATTCCCAGTAGAGATTCTGCCATCTATGTTAGCAGTAATTTCCAAGAGGGTCTTCTTATCTACAGATGTCAGGGAAGCCTGTCTCCAGCTGTGTCACAGAAATTCTTCTTAGAGTGCTTGCTCATGTCTATTCCATTCTAGCTGTGTGTGCTCATCATATGCAATGATGCCAGAAGTTTTTCTTCAGTGGTTTCCGTAGGGGACTAGCTCTGGCGACCTCTAGAATGGCCCACATATGCGCTGGTATAAGGGGCGCTGCCAGCCTCCTTTCTCCCTCCCTCAGTTCCTTCTTACTGCCAGTAACTGTGCTGGAACTCTCCCCTTGTTCTAGCAAGCAGTTCCCATTCAGTGGTTCTTTGAACTTTTTCTTTGTAAACAGTTGGATACAGCTGAAGTATGAAGTGCAGTGGAAGAAGCTCTACTTTCTCCCACGGGCTGTCCTTTCATCTTGGTTCACTGAGGAAAAGTGCCATCCCCAAGGTAAGATGGCTGTGCCTAAGGTGGATGCAGTATTGCTGCTTCCTTGAGCCATTATTCAGGGAGGCAAATTGGCAGAATCTGCTTTAGTGCTAGGAATTGTGTAAAATTTCTGCACCTGACTGGAAAGACTTCCATATTTATTAGGCTATTTCCACTCTTATTTGAGGAGATATTTTTGGTAGTTTCACTTTCTTTCACATCACTACTGTCCTGCACTGGTGAAACCTCATCAGATTTGATATCAAGAGAAATCAATCATTCTGAGTAGCATTACCAATTCAAAGCTATCTGCTTAGATACTTGTTTCTTCCATGGTCTCAATTCAGGATCCGAGAGCTCTTTATCCTCAGAAGAGAAAGATTAAATCCATATTAGATTTTCAAAAATCACCTCTGGTAAGGGAGGCAAACAGGTATTTTTAAGTAACTATTTTCTTGCTTTTGTAGTTTTGATCTGCTGTCTTTGGTCTTTCCTTCTTATGAAGGAGAGATCTAGACGCCAAAGGGTGTGAAGAAAGTGGGCACTCTCCCACTTCCTCTTCTGTTCGGTCCTGGACAAAGCAGTGGAGAACCTAAGGGTATGTCTACACTACGGGATTAATCCGAATTTATATAATTCGGATTTGAAAAACAGGTTGTATAAAGTCGAAATGTATGCGGCCACACTAAGCACATTAATTCGGTGGTGTGCGTCCAAGTAACGGGGCTAGAGTCGATTTCTGCAGCGTTGCACTGTGGGTAGCTATCCCATAGCTATCCCATAGTTCCCGCAGTCTCCCGCGCCCATTGGAATTGTGGGTTAAGATCCCAGTGCCTGATGGGACAAAAAACATCGTCGCAGGTGGTTCTGGGTACAGCCTCACCTCCTCCCTCCCTCCCTGCATGAAAGCAATGGACGGCAGACAACCATTTTCGCGCCTTTTTTCCTGGGTGGGTGAACACTGCAGACTCCATACCACGGCAAGCATGGAGCCCGCTGAGCTCAAGACAGCAGTCATGAACATTGTAAACACCTCGCGCGTTCTCGTGGAGTTTATGCTCACCCAGGACCAGAAAAACGAGGCGAGGAGGCAGCGGCGGCGGCAGCGCAGCGACAAGCATGATGAGGACATTGACATGGACATGGATACAGAATTCTGTGAAACCACGGGCCCCGGTGCTTTGGAGATCATGTTGTTAATGGGGCAGATTCTATCCATAGAACGCCGATTCTGGGCAAGGGAAACAAGCACAGACTGGTGGGACCGCATAGTGTTGCAGGTGTGGGACGATTCCCAGTGGCTGCGGAACTTTCGCATGCGTAAGGGCACTTTCATGGAACTTTGTGACTTGCTGTCCCCTGCCCTGAAACGCCAGAGTACCAAGATGAGAGCAGCCCTCACAGTTGAGAAGCGCGTGGCGATAGCCCTGTGGAAGCTTGCAACGCCAGACAGCTACCGGTCAGTCGGGAATCAATTTGGAGTGGGCAAATCTACTGTGGGGGCTGCTGTGATGCAAGTAGC